AATAAAGAAAATAAAAAGAAAACAATACGAAAGAGAAAATGGCAATGCCAACGCCAACTAAAGTCAAATGCGTTAACAATAAACTTAAGAAAAATGCATAATACTATAACATTTACCGACCACACCCACAAAAAAGGCAACAACAGACAACAAAACAAATAAGCAGCACATCACAAAATTCAAAATAGTTTAAATTTTGACAAATTTGTGGCTTTCTTTATTCGTTATGTTAGAAATTTACATGCAAATATGTTTGCTTAGCCTTAAATAAATAAAATAATGTGAGTTTTAACCAGTACTTAAATGGCACTCCATGTGGGATAAACAAAACCAAGTATTTAATTAAGATAGAACTAAAAAATTGTTTAATGTAGATAATATATTTAAGAAAGCTAAATTTGGCAGCGTCTTCTTTCTATGCGTATTTCACTGTGCGTCTATTTTTGGTGCTCACTGTCTAATTGAGAGCTGTCCTTTTGGTTGGCTTCCACTCTGGCCATTGAGCTAATGAGCAATAACAAATTCATAATTATGCACTTGTAATTCTCAACTTTTTCGCTCCTCTCTCTCTGTTTTCTTTCCCAATCTTTCTCTGTTGGTCATTTTCTTTGAACAAGCTGCTCATTATTGGCGCAATTACAAAATGCAATCGTCTTATGAGTTGCCAAAGTAAACAAAATTTATAAATTAAATTTCCGAGTCAAGGAATAATAATTATATTGCATTAAAACTGAGACAGCTGTCAATTAAGATCGATTAATTTGTGAATATGAACAGAGAAGTGCAATCGCAAAGTGTCTAATATTAAATTATGCCGCCCCATAATGGACTTCAACATGATTGCATTTGGCCACAGAGTGAAGTGCAGCGTTCACTTGGCTTGCGGCTTTCCGGCAAATACAGAAGATAATCACCTGTTCCAGGCCCCTCAAATTTAATTTGTCGTAATTTGCCGCAGCGACAGCCAGCTCCGCGTCGTGATGCAGCGCCCTTAAGTATGAAAGACAAATTAAAATGCACTTAGCGCTCGCTAAAAGTTAGAAGCCAAGTTCTGGCAAGCGCCAGCAGCTGGCCCCAAACTGATGTGCGGTTGCCTAAACGGCTGCCGACTGGGAAAGGTTAAACTCGTTTTTTACATTTTCTCTATAGCATAAGGTCTGGCCAGTACATAGTACTACATATACTATAACAGACCTCGTTAGTGCCTGGTTGAGTAGATGGAAGAACGAACATGTTGGCAAGTTTAAAATGCACTCAATTTTTGCAGCAATAGATAAGGGCTCACTTGAATAAAATCTCAATAGGTAAAGTTATTTAATGGTTGTATAAATAATGATAAAATATCGATTTTTTGGTCGAATACATTTCAAATGTAATGAAAATTGTAGAAAAACATTTAAATTAGTATTTCTTTGTACCTTTCTATGATGTTATGCCAAGATAGCAAGCAAGTTGTTGGAGTCAGAGTAAAACATAAATGTGTTATATCTAAATACTCCACTAGACACCATCCTGGAACTGATGACATCGCTGTCAGCAGCATTATTTAACGTGTTACGGATTGATATCTCCAGATACCTCGTCAGCTTAGTGAAGCGGAGACGACTGCTATATTCCCATGCAGCCGATAGTCTCTTCGCAATGCAGTCAGTAAGTCCTGTCTGTTATAGATTTATACCTTGCTATGATGGTCACAGCCTGAGCGTCGAGCACTGCAGGCTTGGCTCGGTATAGACTCCAATCTCAAGTCCCCCTTGACGTAGAAAACTACACCCTTGTTTCTTGACATTCGTCTTTAATGTGTTCTTTAACGTTTTTACAGGTGTTTTATAAATGTTTCAAAGTAGATGATCAGAAACCAAACCAAACACGATTCTACACACTACAATGTAAACAATAAATCATAGTGTTGAGTAGCATTAAAAACGTTAACACGCTTAGCACATTGCAACACTTTATTATAAAATATTTTAAAATCAGCTTAAAAAGCATTTCATTCGTTTCTTAACACTATTTTAAAGTCATCTGTAAAAACAGCTTTAAAATCACATGAATGTGCATATCAAAGCCCTTAGGTCTAAGAATTTACTTAAAGCTAAAGCTCGGCTAAGTCTGTGTTATTTTAGAATCTCCACAGCTAGCTCTTTGGTCTAAGAGTTTATTCTCTCTAGCTAGCTTTAATAACCCCCAACTATTTCAACACTTAGTGTTGAATCGTCCTGTTTGCCTTAAAATTGCATGCGACTGTAAAATAATTTTTTTACAGTGCAAATGCAAGCAGGAAGCAAAAGCAGGATATTTTGTTTCATTGCATAAGTTGTGGGTGCTCTGGCTGCTAATCGGGCTTATTGTTTCTGTGCCTTATCTGTTGCCTTGCCGACAAGTTACAAGTTGTAACGGAGCTGGCTAAGTAATAAACTGGCCAAGTGACAATCTGGCCACCTGGCATTCAATCGAGAGAAGGAGCATTAAGATGGAGAAAGAGAAAGTGGTGGATAAGAGCTCATTAAATCTGATAATGCCAACGACTGACAAAAGTCAAAAGGGTTTGCACCCAAGTGCTAAACACTCATTGTTCAAATATTAACAATAATCAGATCTAATGAACAATACCCATAAACAAGCAGCCATCAGAGGGTCCAAGTGAATCTGTTTATCTCCACTACAAAAACAAGTTGGCTTTATGCGCATTCAAATGTGGGGCAAACGAAGATTGACCTTGTTGAGGCGGGAAAGGTAGAGAGAGAGAGAGAGAGAGAGAGAAAGAAAGAGAGAGATAGAGTGGGGGAGAGAAATAAAGAGTGCGGGAGCAATCAATAACTACAGCAAGCATTGAAAGTCTTAAGTTTCGAGCTGTTGCTCCGGACATGCAAATTAGTAGCTGGCCATTCAGTAGCTCTGATAATCAAATAAATGAAAAGCGCTAAGATGTTTGCACAGTAAAATATATACAACGTTGCTTAAGAAAACAGTTAGAGAGAGTTAGTTAGAGATAACATGTAAACTATTAGCTTCTGAATTCTATATATAAGATTTTATACCGTTTTGTGAAATATGAAATTCGCATAGAAAGGCGCGGGTAAAGAAAAGGAAAGAAAAGAAGTCTTTAAATAAATACACATAGGCAAATAACAATGATGTAGGTATTACTTGAATGAGAAAATCGTATAGAAGGGAGATTAATGAAAAGCATTTAACTTGATAACTAATTGTTAAACAAGAAGTCATGTGATAAGCAGACTCTGTTGTAATACTTAGAGAGTGGAAGAGAGAGAGAGAGAGAAAGAGAAAGAAAGAGAGAGAAAGAGAGATAGGGAGAAAAAGAGAGATAGATAGATAGATAGAGAGATAGATAGATATATATATATAGATATATAGATAGATAGATAGATAGATAGATAGATAGATAGATAGAGAGATTGAGCTATATTGAATTGAGTTATTGAATTCACAAATGCATAAAGTTCTCTTTAACTCCTCCATTCCCAAAATCAGGTTAACAACAATTAGAGTTTTCATGCAACGTTTCTTGTGGATGCGCGTATCTCTTGAATGCGCTGCTCTAATCTGCTTAACTGTAATTTGTATTGCTTAGCAGTGTCTAATATTTACTTGTCTGCGGAGTGCAAGGGTCAGCTTTAAAATGTGCCCTGAAATTTGTCAATGTAGCTTTCATGGTAGTATTTGCCATTTGCATTGCTTGTGCGTATGTTAATTGCATTAGCTGCATGAGCTAGAGTATGAGCATAGTAATGGGCTGGGAATAGGGGTACGGATAGGGTGGAAAGGGGGAAGTTGACGGCAGTAGTCACAACAGCTTTCAATTTATCTTTTACAATGTGATTTATATGCTAACAGGCGGTCAAATTTGTTGTTGCACTTGCTTTCAAGTTGCAAGCGAAGGCTTTTTTGTAGTTCTCTCTTACACTCTCTCTCTCTCTCCCTCGCTGTCTGACTTTCTTTGTTTTTGTTGTAGTTGTAGTTGCTTGTGTTGCATGCCCGGTTGGTATTTGTATTTGTGCTGTGCGTGCATGCAAATGACTTGGCAACTGACAGCCGCAGCACCAGCAAACTGCTGACCAATTGTGTGCGTGTGCGTGTGTGCTTGTTGCCATTGTGTATCTTGCCCAACCAAAAATTTGCACATAAAGTATCTCTGACAGCAAAGTTTTCACTTGTAAAAGTTGCACGCAACACGATGCATTCATATAGCTGAACCCCCCCTCTCCCTGTTGCGACCACACCAACCTCTTTTTCTGTAGCATTCCTCAGTCACAAGCGGACTTTGCAACAACGCGTGGCAAATAAATTTGACTTGGACAACAAGAGGAACAATAGCAATCTCGAGCAACTGGGATGACTCAATTAACAGCCCCACCACTCGAACGCGTGCAACATAAATTTGTAGCATGCCCCAACGCCTCTATTGTTGACAATCGAAATGGATCTCTGCCGCATTTAAAGCCACTTTGATGTGCAACCAAATCGCTGCTGCTGCAGCTGCTGGTGTTGATTTGCTATTGATTTCCGAGTGTCAGCGTTGCAATGCTTTTGATTTTTTGGCTGTCAGCTGCCAAGCAAAATAAACAACGTTCGCTTTTTGTTGGTGTTGCTTTTTTTTGCAGCTGTCATCTGTCGCCTGAGTGTGTGCGTGTGTGCGTGGCCTGCTTTTGAATCTGATGCGCCAGAATTTGCATAATTCTGCTGTCAGATGACGCATACGCCGTGTATGACAGCCGCTAAAGCAATGAAAAAACAACTAGTGTAAGCACTTTGCAGCGCAATGCCGATTTAACCTATGGCAGTGTATATAGCTTCTCGTTGAACCGAGCGGGCTATGTAGGAGATTTATTGTGCTTTTTTTTCTCAGCAACTTCCTTTACAGCAGCTAGCATTTGTTATTGATTTAGTGTTATGTATATATATACTATTTTTTCAAGACTTAGAAATATTTTCTCCTATTTTTGCAGGCTGGCGCCTTCTGTTGCAACTGCAACTTCAGAATCTGCAATTTCCGCTGCCAAAGCAGTGACTTTTTCATGTGGTAGTAAGCAGCAGAACGGTAAGTTTTCTGAGCACATGCCTAGATTAAATCGTTATTTATGCTACACAACTATTCTGCAACAATTTTTATCTATATTATCAACATTTTCTTGGTTTAACTTGCGACATTTTGTGTTCTTAAAGCTAAGAAATCTTTTGCTCTTTATTAAACCATTCTGTTGATGCATGGCAGTTAAATTCGAAAACTTTTCTCTCGATGCTATTGCAAATTAGCTTCAATGGACTTAGAGGACAAACGTGGCGCTGACTTTCTGAATGTTTTCAATAGTTTAGAGAGCTGGCGGGCTGGCGGGCTGTGCTGACTCAACAGTTCAATTGAATTTGATGCTGCTGCCGCCGCCGTTGCCGCCGTCATGGCTTTTGACTATGAAATCTAGATAATAACTTTTTGGCAACAACTTGTGGCAAACATAATTACAAGCTGCCAAATGGCAGCCATAACAGTAACAGGAACAGCAGCAACTTAAGCAAATGTCAATAGAAGCCCTGGCAACGCTTTTCACTGATGGCCTGCTTATGGGGCCATTCACCCCTGCCATGGGGCAGGCTCATCCCTACACTTGCCCGCTTCCTCATTATGAGCTATAAATTTGAAAGCAGCCAACAAAAAGATTAACAAAACAGCCAAAGTCGATTCGTTTGTCTGCGTTTCAGTTTATGGCTGTGTATCAAATTATTTTGTTGTCATCCCCACTCAAAAGCGAATTTAATCACATTATATAAAAATTGTTTGTGGTAATTTGAAGAGTTCGCATTTTGGAATTTCTTGAATGAACCAGCTCTGTATGCATTATCTCTGCTAATGCTTATGGCTGTCATTGAAATCATAAGCCATGTATTTTCACTAGCTAATGCACTTGTTATATCCGTCAACCCGACCGACCCTTTCGCCAGCTCTTTAAGCAGCATTGAAAGTTTCCCCCCGAGTGGCGAACCCAGCGGGAACTTTGGTAGTTCCAGTTTTGCTGCCAAAGCCAATGTGTCGCGTTGGCTGTCAACTGCATTTAGTGTTTACAATTGTAATAAATATACGAGCATATAGATATATAGATTTATATGTATGTTATATATGCCTTGGCCAACACGCGTGTATGGCCAACAGTTGGTGTAGGTTTTTAGATTAGGAGGCGGCTGCGGGGGCGTGTGTCATGACTCGAAATGGGTTGCCACGCAAACTTGCACATACATTCACATTTACACTCCAGTTAACACCCCAGGGACAATGCCAGAGCAGCTACGCAATTTACGAATGCTGCGTTGCACTTTTCTGCTCTTGCGGCACACACGCCCTATTATATAAGCTTATATATAATGGTTTGCCCTAGTGTATTTGTATGCACTTATGTACATTGAATGTACACTTAAGGCAACATTCAAAGATCAACTCAAGCACACACTCACACACTCACACACACACACACACTCACTCACTCACTCACTCACACACACAAAAACACACATACGTACACGCTTGCTGACGTGCATTTGTAAAGCAAATTTGTATTTATGCTGTAGCTAAAGCACCCATGACATTCGCTTGGCATTCGGTTTGGCTGGGGTTTGTCTTTCAATGCTCTTCTGACTTCCAGCACATTATGTGCTCCATTTAATGTCCATGTATTGTACACACACTCGCACACACACACACACACTCGCACACACAGCTAACACATACTAATGCGTGCCGAATGGCAAGTGGCAATTTACATTAGTTTTATTGTATAAGAAATTAGCAGCTTTTAGCATTTAGCAGCCAACACCAGGCAAAACTTTATCCTCAGGCACACACAACAGCCCATGAGCTCCTGTTTGTGTGTGCGTACCTAATTTATTTGCTTGTTTGACAGCATACCTTATTTGGCATACGCAACATATTAGTTTTCGCCAAATCGACTCTTATTGGAAATTTTGAAGGTAATTCCGATTAAATGTATTGAATTTCAGAAACACTTTGAATGAATTAAAAATCGATTAAAACGCAAACGAACGCTTTGATTAGCAATATATTTTTCTAGGTAAGAATTTAATAGTTGATAGTTCGTTTATAATTCATTTAATTTAATTTTGTTGCTGCTAATAGAAGCGACAGGAAACTAGGAACAAACGAGTAAGCAGTAACTACGTAGTATAAGCAAGAGCGTAGATTACGAGTACGAATGAGTCACGACCACGTGCGAGTAACGAGTACAAATGAGCAGCGAGTGCATGAGTATAGCGAATTAAACCCAGACTCATTTACAGGAATTGATGTTTTTTATTTTGTACAATTTAAGCCCGCTTCACATTTTAGTCGGAACTTGGCAAACATTTTTTTATCATTCTGTGTAGAACTTCGAACCCAAAAACAAACTGTAAACAATTTGAGAAACACTAGAGTTAACTAGAAACTGAAACTGAAATTAAGCCTACCTAAAAATTTTGTTGCGTCTTCAAACAAGCCAAATATAAAAATCGAAGCTAACTACTTTAAAAGTGCCCTCAATGCTAGACTCGAAATTCCTACTGTTGTGTGGTGGTTGTCTCTAAACGATATGACACTCGTTGACCAGGACAACATCGTCGTCAACCATTTCGCCATTATTGTTGGCATGGTGTTCATGGTGTATGGGACAGCTAACGACTAGTTCATCTTCCTTGCGATTTGCTGCCACCTCAATAGCCTCCTTGGGCTTGTCCAATTTCAATTCAAGGGTGTCCCTGCCCTTATCCTTCTCTTTATCTTTATCGCTTAGGTCGAGCTCATGATCGGAAACGAGATGCTCGAAGACCTCGTGATTGTTGCGCAACGCATTGTCGACGGCGCTGTCGAGGAACTGATAAAGCGGCGCCTCCAAGCGATTGCGTTGCGTCTGTGGCATCGTCTCCAGATCCAGATTCATGTTCGGCTGCAACATCTGCTGCAGCAGGAACAGAAAGGGCGGCATTGCCAGAGATTTGTGCTTGTGATGATGCTTCGGCTTGGCCATGGTGCGAATACGCCCGTTTAGATTGTTCTCGGCATTCAAAAGCAACACACCGCCGCCCATGTCGGCGGCGGGTCCATAGTTCATGTCATGCTGCACACTCTCAATGACCATATTGGGCGACATCAGCTGAAATTCCTTGAGCTCTTGTTTGCCATCCGGCGATACCATCTTGTTGTAGTATACGAAGGGTGGCGCTGCGACTGCTCCTGTTGCGGCGTTGGCGACGGCGGCATTGGCACCACCAACACCACCTGCTATGGCATGGTGGCGACCATGATGCAATGTCTTGGACAAAAGCGTTTCGTCTATTAGCGACATGCGACGCTTGCCGCGATGCATGCGGGCGGCCAATTCATTGGACTGAGCTTCATCCAGCTGTTCCATGTTCCTTACAGGATTAGTAGACCCTGCTGCTACAGCAGTCGCTGCTGTGGCGACACCAGCTGCTACTGCTGCTGCTTCTGCTGCTGCTGTGGTTCCGGTGGCATTTGTGGTTGACACAACTGCAGCTTCGACTGGGCCCGCATTCTCCACTTGTGGCTTCGCGGCACCAAGAAGCTCTGCAGTGCCCAAAGCCTTGGCCAGAGTAGGCAGTACTGAATTCGCCTGGTTGGCTTTCAAGTTATTACTGTTTGTGGCATTGGCCAGGCTATCGGAGCGCTTGATGCGCAGAGTGTGCGCGGGCTGTGGCAGCAACAGGCAGCCATCTATGAGGCATGTTTGCGCCTAATGGAGTTGTTGGCATTTCAATATTAAAACTGAGCATACTTACAGCAGATCAAGATTAGAATGTGAGCCAATAGCTTCATCATAGTTGCAGCTTGTCGTGGGGGGTATTTTCGCAGTAGTCAAAGGCTTCGCATAAATTCAGGAAAGAGCTGAAAATATATGAGAGAAAACTTTTATATTAATAAATGTATAAAAATAACTCAGCCTGTGCTTACAATAGAACGTAATAACCAGCAGAAATTTCGATTATACGCAAAACTTTTCAACGCATTTTTTTCCCTTCATCTCCTATTTGAATTTCAATATAAAAATGTATTTTTATAGTTTATGAAACTTACTTTTGTGATGTGCACGTTACGAGGCTTGAACGTAGATTGATTTGTTTTAGTTTTTGCTTATTCAGCTTCACTTTGACAGACAGCTTTAGTAACGTCAAAGCCTGCTCTGGCAACTATACAAATATGAATATATATGTATATAGATAGATTCGTGTATATGTACAGAGTATATCAAATGATTTTTTTATGTAAATCCAGTTCAAGTTTTTTGGGGGCACGTTAAAGTTTCCACTTGTAATTCAGCATATGGCTGGACATAGAGAAAAGTCAATAGCCAAACACGCACACACACATGTGGTGACCTTTTCAAGTGCTGCGAATGGCAGCCAATACAAAAAAAAAATTGGCAGCAACAAAGCCAAAAAAAGTTTGTTATTTGATTTTGTTTTTTGATGCGCCCAAAAAATAAAACAAGAAAATGCTGTGAAAACTTTAGCTTATAAATTCCCAATCAATTTTTGTGCAAAAAATCAACAACAAAAAGACAAGTGCCGCACTCATATATTCATAAAATCACTCTCCCTCTCTGTCTGTGTGTGTGTGTGTGTGTGAGAGAGGGTGTGAGAATGTGTGTGTGTGTTGCTATTACTTGATTAATAAATATTAGCAGCAAAAATTGGAAAATTCTCAGCGATGCGAAAAAGTGCAAACATACAAAACGAAATGCGATACATTTGCCAAATGGCTGAAGCATTTACAACAAGCGCACACACACACACACTCGCACATAAACACTCACAGACACACACACTGAGATGTGTGCATAACTTATATGGCTGCCACATCCGTTGGCAACTAATTTTTTTGTTTTTTCGCCACCTTTAGTGCCTGGCATTAATAATGTAAAGTGCGTGCCTCAAATGTAAATTTTAACGCTTGCGTTTTCATAAACTTGCGACATGCTCGCATTTTTTGACGCTCTGGCGAGGCACAGCTGAATCGTCAGCCAGGTGAGCTGAGCGCAA